AATATATCCTTGCATATACCATATAGATATCACATTGCTAGGATATATCATCTTGTGTATATTGCTTATTCTTGCTTATAATTAGTTGTATATCATACTTGCAAGAATAATATTTGTTAATTAATTTTAATTGGCATAAAATCGGAATAGATTAGCACAAGACCCTAATCACCCCCCTCTAGGGTCTAACAGTCTACTGTTCAATTGGACAACACCTCGCCCTCAGATTTCCGATCCTCTCAATTGAAGACCCTGGGCTTCTATTTATAGGCTTTTGTCGCCACGTTTTCTGATAAGATCAAGTGTTTTGACGTCATCTACCGTTGATAACCGCCTAGGCGTACTTAAGGATAACTTCAGAATAATTGGGGAGGTCCTGGGACGTAAGAATTCTAATAAAACATCAAAATCCGTGTTTTGGGAGGTTTGGGAGGCCCAGATAGTCGTGGTGACTCGGCATTATGCGAGTCACCATTTGGTGACTCGGCGCTATGCGAGTCACCATTTGGTGACTCGGTAATATGCGAGTCACTTGGCCAATTATCATCTTTTTTTGACTTTTTTGGTTGTTTGTGATTCCTTCGGTTCGCTTGCTCTCTCGTTTACACGTGTTTCATAAATTTGTTGAGTTGTGCGCTTTTACTGATTCTCTTAATGCTTTTCATCGTCGTCAGAAAAAACTTCTTTGACTTGGATGATATCATTCATCTTATTCTCTTTGTCTTGAGCTGTATGCGGACACCTATAGGTATTTTTAAACGCCTACAAGGACTATCTCTGACTACCTTTCACTGTGCATGTTTTGGTAATCAATTGTCTTTTCACTATGCTTTTATGACTGAGTCTTTTCTTCTTCTTCTTCTTCTATGTGAAGTACGTCCCTTGTACACAGTGATTTTGTCCTAAAATGATAACGAACGACATTGCTGCACCCTATGGTTGTGACTAAGGGGGTGTTTGGTTCACTCATTTTATGGAAAAGGAATAGGATTTGAAGCTAATAGGGACAAAACCGTAAATAAATGATTCTTTATCAATCCTAATCTTGAGTTTGGTTCGAATTTTTTTTATCGATTTTAAAATCCATAAAGTTGCAACAGTAGGGTGTTTTTATGGAAACTCAAATCCTATTCAATTGGGATGAATTGTGCCAAAAAACTGACAACCCCGTACTTTATCCCTTTCTCTTTCCTTTTCGGATTCTGCCTCTTCATGAAGAACCCTAGATCTGGTTCGGCTGCTCCTACTATTCTTCTCCCGCCTCTTCTCAATCTTCTTCGCGCCTCCTCTCAGGTTGTTCTTCGATTTCCTTTTCGAAGATGAGGCTCATTCATTGTTGTCGGTGATCCCTTCTCGAACTTGATCTAGGGTTCGGTGGGTTTGTTGGCTTCGGCTTCTCCCGCGAATCTTCTCCCGCCTCATCTCAATCCTCTTCGCGCCTCTTCTAGAACCGTTCTTCGAACCATTCTTCGATTTCTTTTCTGAAGACGAGGCTCGACACTAGTTGTCGGTGATTCATTCTTGACCTTGTTATTAGTTTGTTGGCTTTGATTTCTGTTGGTGGGTTCGGTGGGTTTGTTCTGTTTGGTGGGTTTGTTGGCTTCGATGGGGTTGTTGCATCAATTTCTGAATTATCCCCCTGGGCTTCTATTGTGCTTGATCTGAAGAAATGAACATGGGTAGTAGAATGCATTGGTTTTGATAATTTATTACATGTCTAATCTCTTGTGAAACAAGGTTTTTGTTACATAGTTGAGTAATGATTTTCGGTTCTCTGGATTATTTGTTTAATACGTCCTTCAAACGATTAAACCCATGGACTGAAAATCTTATTTTTATTTGTTTGATCAGCGTGCATGCTTAGGGTGCAAAATATGAAATAGTTGTTTCATTACTTAATATAGATTTGTGGATATTTAAATATCTTGTTTTAAGATTTCAATATTTTTATTAGTTATTTAATTATTTTAAATCTTCAATGGGTAGAACTACAAAGTTGTAAATATATGCTACAATGAATGTAGATGGATAACGTAGATGAAGAACAATTGAAGAGGATGTGTGCTAATACAGTTGTTTTTGCCGTGGTCACGATAATAACTTGTATTTTTAGAACGCATGCTGAGCGCAAGACAATTTCATCTTGTACGAAGGAAGAAAAAATTTAAAAAAAATATTACAGAGAAGCTTACTTCAAACGTGTATTGGAAGGCTATAGCGATAGTTGTCGGTCTTATATTAGAATGAGACCGAGTGCCTTTTTTAAACTTGCTGAAGTAATGAAAGCAAACAGTTTATTAAAGGATATCATACATGTTCAGGTCGAAGAACAGCTCGTTATGTTCCTAAGTATAGTGGGCCATAAAACTAAAATTAGAATAATAAGGACTGAGTTCATAAGATCGGGAGAAACCATTAGTAGGTATTTCAACAAAGTCTTACAAGCAATGAATGTGTTACGTGATCGCTACATGAATCAAGCTCCAAATGAAGTTCCTACGGAGATTACAAACAACCCAAATTATTTTTCTTACTTTAAGGTAAAAATAATACATACACCTTAACATCTGTTTTAAATAAATAAATATTTTTTGAATATTGTATAACTTATAATTTTTATATGATTGCATTGGTTTGATAGATGGTGCACACGTTGACGCAATGTTACCTAGTAACCGTGTTGCACGTTTTAGAGGGCGAAAAGGTATGACACAAAACATCTTAGCAACCTACACCCCCAATAAACTACTCACCTATGTCATAGCTAGGTGGGAGGGAGCAACAAATGGCTCTAGGATATTACAAGACGCTCTGTCGAGACCACAGCTTGTGTTGCCTCGGTTTTGAAGCTCATTCATGAGCTTGTGTTGCCTCGGTCGATGGGTATTGTTGCTGGCATTCACGAGCCTGTGTGGCCCCTTTGGTTTGGCTATGTTGCTGTCGGTTTTGAATCTCATTCATGAGCTTGTGTAGCTCCTTTGCACTGGTTATGTTGCTTTGGCTATGTATTTTTGGTTATCGATTATGTTGCTATCGGTTGATAAATTGTTGGAGCACGTGGTGCTCCATAGTTAATATTTGGAAATGATGAGTAGCGTTTACTGAGAATGCATTCTAACTTACAGTGTTTATTATATTCATATGAGACAATATGTGATGAGATTGCAACCTACATTGAATTGACAATGTCTAGGTGAGGCAATCCATCATTAGAATGTAATCTACAATAAACCTGTAAGTTATAGGTGGGGTATTCAATTTTAACAAATTGACCTATTCCTGAGCCGTACAATATCAACTAGAATTGGTACTCAATTCTAATAACAATTTTTATTACAATGTCAATAGTTTTTGCAAGTACAAGTACATGACATGCGGTTTATAATAATTAAAGTAATATAAAAAATATCGCTAGTAAAATTGCTGAAATTTTCTAAGCTAATAGTTGATTTTTGACAAGTCTCGATTTTTTCTTCATCCTCTTTGATTTCAAAAAAAATATTTATCTCCGTACCTATTTTCTTTGACATATTTGTTCCCTTGGTTGCTTATTTCTCCTCTTTCATCAGCCCATTCGAAAAAATTACATTCTTTATTTGGGTATTTTGCACACCCCCAATAACACATCTCCTTATTTTTACCATTCTTGCACACTTTCATGGGTATTCGGAGATTGCAATCGCACCAAACTTTAAAATTTTTGGGGCATTATTCTGATATCATATTGATGTCGGGAGGCAAATTGCAAACTATGACAATTTATAAAAGTGGTAAGAATGAAGGATACATTGGCACAATAAGCCCTCAAGCCAAATTTATAGCCTCCAAGGCCTTGGAATTAGCCGTTGAAACTAGCCATTGCTATAGTGTTTCGGTTTTGAATATTGTCAAACGGGTAAGAATAATTATGGTATACTCACCCTTTATCCCAAAAATTTCTCATTCCAAACCAAACTAAAGATTAGGAATTTGAGGGTTTCTATAAAGTTAGATTCTATCTTGTCATGTTATGAAACAAACATAGAGAGAAAAAAAAAAGATTTCATGAATCTATAAACTTGTCTTAAAAATTGTTATGGAATAGGTAGAAATCCATAAAAAATACCGGATTCCTAATCCTATTCTTGCCCACTAGTGAACCAAACACCACCTAAGATGCGTAACGGGTAAGTCCCTTTCTTAGGTTCCTCGGCACATGCAGAGCATGCTTACACATTCTTCATCCTTGTCAATTTGTCAGGAGTGTAAAATTGTAAGTTGGGGTCACTGGGATTTACTTGGACGTCCTCCTTACCTGTGCCAATTTTATACCCCCGACATAAATTAATTTGGATCACGGGCGATGACAGCCACCTTGTATACCTTGCGTGATGTGTGTTAGTTCCAGTGTTACCCTTTTATGCTCTTCTAGTTGGGGTCTGGGATTTTGTACATCATGCGGAACTTGGTGCACTGAATCCAAGGATGCTCAAATATACCGTGTAGCATGCTAGTGGAGATGCATGAGCCCAGCGAGTCATGTAAGTTTGAGATGCAAGGGGTACTTGGGGTGCGTACTCTGCGTATAAGAGGATATCTTGTATCTTGGTAGTGGGCTGTGTGTACTCAGTAATCTCAGTGTTACCCTTGAAGAGTAATCTCAGTGTTACCCTTGAAATAAGACTATAAGATTCTCCAGGTATTGCACCATACGTCAGGGTACCAGAATGTAATTAATCCAAAAGATTACTTAGTTTTGAAAGATAATTGAATGCCATAATTTGCAAACATCATCTTGAGAAACTTACACAGAACATTCAGTCAGTAGCAATCCACGTTATGTGATTCTTCTATTGTATAAAAAAATAATTAAAATAAACACTTATCCCCTATACATTGCCAACTTTGTCCCTCTCTTCACCCAAATTCAATAGTAAAAGAGGATAACTTCATCATATACCACAAAATAACAAGATCAAGTGATTTTGATAATAGTTACAGACCAATTTCGAAGCTTCTAATATTAAATTTGAAGATCTTTGTCATAAACAGTAATTATCAATCCACAAGGTAACTGAGTACGCCAGAAAGCCTACATAAAAGAGAAAAATACAGTTTACGCAAAGAAACAAACCAAGAGCATAATGGGAAGAGATACAAGCACAAACAATAGCACACAGATCTAACCAAACTAGTTCACTGGAACCACCAAATTTCTTCTTTCTTCTACTCGGTCTTGGTGTAGATTCTGATAGCAACAGCCAACCCCAATATAGCCAATGGAACCAAAAACTGGAGAATTTTAACAATAAAGTCTGAAGTCTTGTCCTGGTTGTAGTGAGGTTGCTTCGGAGGGGTATACTTTGTCTTGACTGGGATTGTGGAGGCGTCAATCTCTCCCACATAGTACTCATCCATCATGGCTCTTGCAGTGTTGCTGTGGCCAACATCTTCAAAATCATCAGTTGCATCTTTGCCTGCAAAAATCCATGAAATCATATCTTAAGCTAAAAACGCCATAGGATATCTTTATGTTGCTCGTCAAATGAGATTTTCTTACCGGTTACTGATAATAAAACTTCGTCGCCACCAGGGTGGTCATCAAGGAACTTTGTCACGTCATAAACCTAGTTTTAAAGGAAGATAACAATAAATAAGGTGTTATAAATTGGATGGCCCATTAGGAAAAAGGAAAGAAATAGAGTCCATGAAGTGATGGAAGCATATAAATGCATAAATGCGTTCTCATGTTAAAGTATCACTGCACACTATTGTAACTTCTTCTCCAGAGTACTTGTGTAAATTGGTCAAACATATTTTTTAGCATTCCATGTACCCTACATAACAAGGATTGCCTAATTTCAGCTGGGTTTAAGTATTTTTAACTAGAAACTGTGTTCCAGGGCTTTGTCAACTGAGAAAGAAATCATGACATGGATAACTAAAACATACCATTGAGGGTTCGAATCACTGCATCATCAACATATGCCATAAATCATAATTATAAATTTGAAAAAGCATGCACTAATAAGAGCAACAATAACCGTGATCAACTGTACCATAGGAATGTGGAGGCACCTGGCAACGGCACGTGTCTGTTACAAAGTTTCCAAGATGGAAACTTTCCAAAAATCTGATACATGGGGATGCCTACAGTTGTAATCATGTATGATTTTGTATATTCCTTCAGATAATAACAGAAGCAATCCTAAACCAAAGACAGTTTTATGCGACCGAATAATAAAACAGAAGTGACTTCCAACTAAAATGAGCAAGATCTACTAAATCACAGCTCAGAATTAAATGTAGATGATTATCACTTAGTTGAAAAACATGTATATTCGAATGGTATTGAACATATGCATAATGATGCATATTAGCATATTAAAGCAAGTGGGTGAAAAGACTTTGAACTTAGGCCATGCCATGTAGGGCATCATACAAAATATATAATCCTTCTTAGAAAGTCAAAACCTCCTACACAATTTTATGTTGGGTAAATGGAAACAAATACCATCAGAAAATGAATTCTTAAAAGAAAGGTACTACCTCATGAACCTCAAGTTTGATATTAGCATTGAATCGCATATTTAGTTGATAAGCAAATAGAACAAAAAAAAACTTTTTTTAATTATTCTATATTCAATTTATTCTATATTCAATAGGATGAGAAATACAGATACTAAGATTTTTGGAAGTATCTCCTACTCTAAGTCTTATGATGATCATGATTAACCATATAGACTTCCTGAATGTTCACTTAGAATCACAAATAATCTACAGAGTCAGGACATACTCATGGCAAAAGCTCTTGCTATGGAAATAATCAAAATGCATGCTTTATCTTTAGACACACATCTTTTCACACTATCAGTGTTTTGAGGAAACTAAAGGATTGCCATATTGATATACCTTCATCAAAACACGTTAAATACATTTCAAGACAAAATCTTTGAGGGGTAACTTTGAGGTTGCTTTTGCTTACAGGCATGTCCTTTTAAAGAAGGGCTTATTCAAAAGTGCGTGATAAGGGGGAAAAATTATAGGACAAAGTTGTTTGGTAGATTCAGTGTCATGTAAGAGTAAATATAGGAAAAGGATTGTGTTAGAGAAAGTCAAAATAGATGAGTCAGGGAGGGAGGGAGGGAGGGAGAGTTAAAAACTTCAGTTAGAAGATGTACTTTTCAGATTATATGAGTAAAAGTAGGAAAGTAGATAAAAATCATGGAAGAAGATTAAAAAACATACTTCTCTAAAATGCAGCTGATGGACTTGGGATTTTCTAGAAAGTTCTCTAAAAAAATTACTAAACATGAAATTTTGTCCCAAAAAAAAAGCAGCAGCAGCAGCTAATTTTCTTTAAAAATTGTCAAAGTACTTATTACAGGCAGCACAAACAAACTCTAGAGGTGAACTTGACTAGTGCTAAAAAGAATGTAAGGGTTCTCATCACTAAAACCTGTGTCCACTTCTATGTTATTGGAAATGAACAACTATACAGTATACTCGTGTTTAGCCCAGAACTAGTACATTGTTTCACGGCATTGTCATTCTTAACAAATACCTACTACAAAAAAGTTGTAACAATAGCAGACTATATTTTCCTGAGCATCCCTCCATATGTTAATAATGAAAGCAAAATTTATCGTGAACCTGTAGAACTTTTGGCTTATTGTTCTAAACTTTTTCACTCCAAGAACGAAAAGATGCATGTAGAGGAACAAGAATCCGGGGCCTTAACTGTAGTTATTTCACATCAATGGATCAAAAGGAAATCAATCTATGAACTCAATTGGATTTGGAAGGACATAGCAACACGCAAAAAAAAATTCCAGTAACTTGCCCTGAGCATCAGGTGAATGTTTACGATTTTAAAGGCCTATAGTTTGTCACCTAAAAGTTTCTAAAATTTTCAGGATCTTCGAGAAGTTAGAGAATGATTCATACGAATTTTGCATGTGTGTAGATAGGACAAACTAATAGACTATGAACTTGGTTTAGACCAGTTAATCTCTAAAATAAACTTGTAAGACTCTTGGGTAACTAGTGATCATAAGAAATTATGATTAGAAATGAATCCACCACTTCAATGCCCAGAAAAAGTGAAATCATTCAAGGGAAACAATATCCAAGGTAGTGAGCAGAATATTGAGATGGATCTTCATAAGTTACTGGAGAAACACTTGAGTAGAGAAAATTGCAACTAAAAGGCATGTAAATTAGTTGAGATCAGTCAACAATGAAACGATGAACAATAGAGCCCTGATTCTCTCACTGAAGAGAGAGTATTTTTAATCTTGGCATGCAGATTATATTTTCCCCTTTCCACCTTGCGGCCCAATGCTCATTTCTATTAGATCTGGCCCATAAATTAATACAGCAAGCATGTCAAACAATTGGGATCTGGAAATTAGTGTTACCTTGCCGCCGATGATGAGCCAGCAGTCTTTGTTGGTGTTGTGCTTTGAGACATCCTCCAATGTGAACACTTTGGCATCGCTCCCCATTTCTCTCCCTCTCCCTTTCCCTCCCTCCCTCCCTCTCTCTCTCTCTCTCTCTCTCTCTCTCTCTCTCTCCGCCGAAGCGAAAGCCCTCTCGTTTTCCTGTCTCTCTCCTTCGCTTGCTCAATTAAGAAGAAGAGTAGGAAGAGAAAGAAAGTGGCAGATATTGGGCAGGTGAGTAGGTGAGAAAGCGATATGAACTAGGGGCTTGTTTGGATTGTTGTGAATGAGGGTGGAGTGAAGTTAGGGCAACCATTCACTTCCATTCATCTTGTTTGGGAACACTTACGCCTCGTTTGGTACGTGGGAATGAAGTCAAGTGAGAATGGAATGAAATAAGGAATGAAATGGAATGTATGTGAGAATGGAATGGTCATTCCCATTCTCTTGTTTGGGTGCGTTTGTAGAATGAAGCTAGAATGAAAATCTAATTCTCATTCTCATGTTTGGTATCACTAGTTCACAAGTGAGAATGGAATCTTATTTTCTAATAATGCCCTTATAACAACATAGATTTTTAATAAGATAACAATAAACATTAATGATAATAACTTAAAAAAATTATTTATGCATATGTTATATTAATCTAGGTATGTGTTATACTAATGCGCATGTTATCGATCAGGTGTATGTTTCGTTTATATTTTTTAAACAATTCTCACTATTTCTTAGTCTTAAAAAATTAAATAAAAATAAATAAAAGATTATTGCATCTTTCATAGGTCCAAAAAAATATAAAGAATGAGAATACGTCGATTTCAAGGGTGATGAATAGAAAGGAGGCCTTTTTGTTTCGGTGGAGCCTAAAAAAACAGAGAGAATGAGAATACGTAGTCAAAAGCCATGATTTTTAAATTAATTCTTATTATTAATAGGGGTATAATTGAAAAAAAAACCTAACTAATTTGATTCTTCTCTTGAATGGGAATGGTCATTCCCTATCTTCTCACTTGGAATGCTCATTCTCACAAAAAGTGGGAATGACCATTCCATGGGAATGATCATTCTAACAACTAAAAACTAGTTTTGTTTGGTATGAGGGAATGAGAAGTGAGAATGGCATTCCATTCCACCCCATTCCCGCGTACCAAACGGGGCCTTAGGAGGTGAAGTTAATTCACCCTAGTTCCCTTTGGTTCATCCCCTAATACTATAAAATTTGTTACCCCCCAAATTGGGGTGTAACCAAGGGGAAGGGAACTCCCTTCCCTTCCCTTCCCTTCTCTTCTCTCAGTTTCCCTTAACTTCCCTTCACCCCTACAAATCCAAACAGGCCCTAAGACGAGAAGAGGTTATTTTTGGAATTTTGGTCGGTTAAGGTGAGGATCACAGAGGTTGCGGTTTTTTTGGTCCATAAGTGATGGGAGTTGGGCCCGTTTACCTAAATTGTGATTTTAATATGGAAAAAATTAGCCATCAGCCAAGAATGAATATGGGTAAATTTCGCAAAACCCCCTAAATTTGGTGCGTTTGATGGTACTTATTGTGTAAGAAAGAATAGGGGTAATTATCACAAAACC